GAAATCTGACAGGACAGAGTGAAACCAAAAGAAGAAAAGTCATAATCATTGTTTTGTCATAACCTTTGTTTTTTAGATAACCACTATGTAAATGTATTCCTTTTTCTTTTCCTCTAGGCAGACCATGCAAGTCTCCCTCCATTTTAAAACAATATGACTTATCTCAATAACTACATTCTCCTTACAATGAGTAAGTTATTATAAAATCCTTAACAACCCCTAAATGCAATGAAATAAAATAAATTGAAAATAATAACAGTGTTTATCCATTCAGATGGTGAGAAGAAAATCTTAGCAAAATCAAAGCAAAAGTTTCCGTGCAACTCTGAGATCTTACTCAAGGGAGTCCTGGGGCTTCTACACTATGTGCTCCAGGAAGTATTGAAAACCCTACAGGGAATGGGTAATTCTACCAAGCCCAGGAGGCAGGCATATGCATTCAGTGTGACTCTCCAACAACAGGATGTGGAAAAACAGAGTGATGGAGGAATTTATAAGACGCAAGAGTATAATCTGTTTTTAGCAAACATCCTGGCCATTAATTTTATTCTCATAAGAATAAGTCCTGGAAACTGTTGCTAAAATTTCCTGGAAACAACTATGTTTCCACCCATGCTAAGTCTATATATAGATTAATCAATAGTAAGTGTTCCAGAAGGTGACTGTGGTGTCTCAAATGGAATTAAAGTAAGGCAAAGCACAGCTTCACTAAGTGAAACAAGCTAGTAAAGTTAAGAATGTGAACTTTGCAATCCAAGCACATGAAGAAAGGGACAGAGAAAAGACTTAACATTTGGAGTAACTGATCTATGGTTTCAAGGACTCTGTTATGGGAGACTTGGGTGTTGAGTGGGTTCAGAAGCACCAACTGCTTAAGTTTAAGTAAGAGGCTTAGCCTCACTTTACTCATCTACAAAAAAAAGACTAAGTGCATCTTTCAGCATTTCCCTTTAGTGTCAATAACACATATTCATGTGCTGAAGGCACAGCATTATCATGGTTAGACTGAATTTAAAAGAGAAACGACATTGCATGTGCAAAATACACAAAATACAAACTGTTGGAGGGACTGGAGATCCTGGTACATCTGTGATCTTCTGAACACATATATAAAGAAAGACAGGCCTAGAATATATTCTATTCATCTTTTTTCTTTGATTGCTCACTTTTTTTTTTTTTTGGTTTTTCGAGACAGGGTTTCTCTGTATTGTTTTGGAGCCTGTCGGTCCGGCCTGGCCTCGAACTCACAGAGAGATCTGCCTGCCTCTGCCTTCTGAGTGCTGGGATTAAAGGCATGCGCCACCACCACCTGGTGATTGCTCACTTTTAAAATGATGAGTGACCTTTAGCTCCAGAGTGACATGAACTCTATTCTTCCCTGTTCTGAAATGCCTGTAAATGTGACACATTCTCAATCCCAAGTAAATTCTGTTCAATTAATAAGCACAGAAAAGTAACATAAAAGTTTCTGTGGCTTGGAATCCTAATGCGTATCTAGGATTATGTGGGGGGAAGAAAGATGGAAAGGTTTATGTAGGAGGGATGGAGACTATAATGCTATGTAATGATTTGTATAATAATTGAAATGATAAGATAAAGATATGTCTAGAAGAAAAGGGAAGAGAAACAATGCTACAAACATGGAAAAACACACACAGAAACATGGACTATTGCATATAAAATAACTAAATACATCTGCTGAAATACATGACCTGTCCTAATTAAAGTAATGGAATAGAAAGGAACTATCTCAGCATATAACATCAAAGACATTATGGACTACTTGTTTTGACTGTATGAAGATGTATCCTCATGATTAGTGTAATAAAAAGCTGAACAGACAATAGATAAGCAGAAGAGGTTAGGCAGGACTTCCAGATAGAGAGGAACTTGGGATGAATCTAGGCAGCAAGGCAGAAGCCAGCAAGACACACAGGGAGTCAGTCATACAAAAAGGAGGAGAGGTAAAAAGACACATGGAAGAACATAGATTAGTACCAGCAGGTCAATTTAAGTTATAACAGAGAGTTGGAAACAGTCTAAGCTAAAACCAAACTTTCAAAATTAGTAAAATGTCTCTGTATCATTATTTGGGAGCTGGCAGTCCTAAAAGAAAGTCCAGCTACACAAAGAGTTCTAAAAACTAGTCTTTGCTGCAACAAAGCAAAAAGTGAAATATGTGCAATGTAAAAAAGATGGTTACCATTTGCAGAAGAATGGAAGAGTTCCAGTTGGAAAGTGAACCACACAGGAGAATATGTTGTTCCTTAACCTATCTTCTCTATTCCATGTACCCTGTTGGGGGCATGGAATACTTCAGGTTTTAGCTTTCTGATTCCTATGAATCAACAGAGACTAGATATTGAGATTTTATATGAGATCTTCCAACTTTCAGGCACTGACGATGAAATGGTGTGTGTGTGTGTGTGTGTGTGTGTGTGTGTGTGTATACATATATAAGTGTGTGTGTATAATGTGCAATTTATAAAATGTATATATACATATATAACAGATACTGTGGACACATAAATGTACTTACTTACAAAAATGTATGTGACCTGGTGAACAAGTTAGTATGAGGTCAAGAGAAATGCAAGAGAATGTCAAAAAATGGCTACTGATACTTAAGTTTATTCCAAGTCACACTTGTTTAGTACAAAAACCTTTTTTTATATAAAGAAATGGAACAAGAAATTAAGTCAGACCACCCAAAGTTCCCATTCATAAGAGTAACTATATCATCATACTTATATTCACTCAGATATATACTTTCTACCCTCTATTTTTAATAAATTTTCGATTGAAAGCATCAAAGAAAAAAACTAAATTCAAAGGCAATAACATATTTTCTGAGAACTGTAAAAGTGTAACAATAAAATGCATTTTCATCATATTTGCATAAAGGTTACTTAATATACTCAATAAATAAAATATTTGGGGTATTATAAAATTGCACAATATAATGAACACACACAGTGATAAGTTACAGAACTTACGAGAACAAAAGGAACAAAATGGAATATAAAAGGGTTAAATTGATTCCATTACACTACAGTCATTTTATCTGTCTCACATTGTTTTATTTAGAGATTCTAACATCTGAACAATATTACTTTTTTACATTACATTTATAAGTGCAAGTATAATTTGAAATACCAAAGTAATTTGAAGTTATTGAACTGTCTAAAGCTAGATGATATAAGGATATTAGTACATAATTAGGAATTTTAAAAATTAATATGACCTGTTTTACTTTCTTAAAATAACATTCTGAGAAAAGGGCTGTCTTAGTCTGCTTCTGGTTGCTGTGATAAACACCACAACCTAAAGCAACTTGGAAAGGAAAGAGTTTATTTTTCTTGCATCTGACAACACTCCTTGAAGGAGCAAAAAGCAGAAACTCTAAGAAGACCAGAGGAATGGGTCATGGATGAAGGTCCTTACTCTACATGGACTGTTCAGCTTGATTACTTATACCATGTAAAGCACCTGCATGTGGGTGGTGCAGCCAACAGTGTGCCATGCCCTAGCAAATACATCAACGACGAAGGAAATGTTCCATAGCCATTCCCAGAGATCAATCCTGATAGAGGCTGTTCCTCAGCCATTTCCTCTTCTCAAATGACCCTAGCTTGTGTCACGATGACCAACACTAACACCAGCATGAAGCCTAATTAATTCAATCAATTCTTTCATTAAGAGAAAAATAATCATTGAGATATTTTGGATAATTATGCTGCTATCACAAGACTAGTTATAATATTTCTTGCCTAAAGTTGTTTCTATCCCATTACATATATATACATATATATGAGACAAAATTAATTAATTACGTATATAAATATTAAAGTAACTATATATTTATAAATCTAAGTACCTTAAGTAAAATTTAAGAACAAATGACTTAAAATTTTGACTGTTTTGTCAAGATGAATGAGTGTAACATTGCTTGGAAATTTTAAAATGTCAAACTATTAGTGGTGTAGGTTATAAAATCTCCAAAAAATAGAATTACTTTATTATAAAATTGTAAAAATTTATTTTTCAGAGTCATGTGATAACAGAATAATATTTTATCTAGGCTTTGATTATCTGTTAATATGCTTGTGAACTTAGTTGGAAAGTTGATAATGTGATGCTTTTTTAATTTCATGAATGTGTTACTATTGTTACCAACATAAATTCTATTATATATATATATGTATATAGTCTTAAAATGACATCTAATTTTCATCTCAAATATTTTTAATATATTTCAATAAAAATTCAGTAAAATATTGATCATAAGATTATGCTAGTACAAAAGTCTTTTTGAAAAGTTTTTTCATTTTTTATTTTAATTTTAAATAGCTTGTTTTACATGTCAATCCCAGTTCCCTCTCCCTCCCCATCTCCCGCACTCCCCTTCCCCCCCAGCCTCCCACCCTATTGCCAATTCCTTCCACATAAAGAGGAATGTTCTCTCTGCCTGGACTCTTAGGGGAGTGCCTGGACCCTACCCGGAGTGAAAAGTTTTAAGTGAAGAAAAATTCAAAATTTGGGAAGAAACTCGAATGACGATAGGACTTGAATGACTAACTTTTAGCCTGAAAGGAACTTAATGGAATTTGTTGTAATGCTTTCTAATTTTTCTGAAAATGAAATAAAAGGTGAGTTGATCTCTATGTACATTAACATTGTACACAGATGTGAATTATATATCCTCAGGAACTTATCTAGGATAGTGGAAAAGCACCACATTTCTGAGTTGCTGAAGGGAAACTTTCTAAGTGTGGAGAAATGCTCAGAGGAAAGTAATGTGTCTGATATTTAGTCACTTAAGATCCTTCCCTGTTGGTTAATTTTTTTTTCAGAACTCATTGAAATTCTCCTATATCCCACCTAATAGAAATAGCCCTCCTTTCTTAACAAATATTTCGACTTAAATGTCAATTTGTTTTTTGTAACCTGAGAGCTACATACTAAGGTTTTATTTTATAGAAACTCTCATGAGAACTTACCCCATTTTTTGGAAAAGCAATCCATCCAAGGTCCCCCATGACAGTGCGTGAATCCAATAAATTCACTGTAAAAAAGAAAAAGAAAAACCAAACTAAGTGCATTCCTATTTCACCCCTTCTGAGATTCATACTGTTTGTAATTACCAAGATTAGATTATGCTTTCATCATGATGAAGACAAGAGTTACAAAGTAATGTTATATTGAAAGTGAACAGTTGTTATATAATAAATAAATGAATGGAGAATTGTAACAAAATTCAATCTTTGTAACCCCTAAATGCTATTTTTACCAAGTAAGAGAAAGAGTACAAATAAGATGGAAAAAAAAAGTTTGGAAAACACCAAAACAAAACAAAAGCACTTATAGTTGGCATTAATTTACAGCCTTAAAAATTGTAACTAAGCATGTTTTGTTTTTCCTCAAAAAGCTGTTATGAATTGGAAGTAATTACATTAAATAACAATACATTTTTATAAGCATATTTAACATTTTCATGATAACAATCAAAACCTTCCATGCAAGTGAAAATTTTTATTAAAAAGCAACTTATGATATTCGTATTCAATATAAGAATCTAGCAATTCAAAGTTTGTTGCTATACTTGAGTACTGTGACTCCTCAGATGTCTTCTACTTAGATAAAACCAGAGCTTTAAATGTACCTCAAGCTGAATTTTTAGATACTTTATGTCCTGAAGTCCTAATACATTTAGAAATCCCAGGACTGATACAAATTTCATCATTATAAAGGAACCAAAAGGTGAGTGCACATGCTCACATTGACCCATATATTCATACATGTTGAGCTTATATTCTGTCCTTGGGGAATCAAATTAATTTAAAGGGCACCGTTCAGTTAAATAATGCAGATATGAATAGTTTATTTGTTTTTGGTTGTTTTTAACATCTCTTTCTCATGAATTTGTAACTGAACCATTCTTATAACTGAACCATTCTTAATAGATCTTGGTGTATTGGCCAGAAGAGAAGCTGTATATATTATTTCATAAAACTACCTATACCACATGTGGGATCCAATATTTTGGAAGTTCATCAAATTTAAAGGTGTTATTCTGTCTGTAAGTATAAGCTTGCAGTATAAAATGAACAAGAGTGGATAGGCAAGGAAATGGATTATCAGACTATAGAAAGTAATTGAAAATCATTATAACAAGAATCACATCTGAAATTGGAACTTTGGATATTTTGCAAAATTTGTGTGTATTTAACATATTAATTTATTTCACATGAGTGAAATCCAGTGAGAAAATATATACATGAAGGTGTGTATCCTATAAATCAATTTAAAACATAATGATATTAGCAAAGTAAATCAATCACCAATTTGTAGAAAGCATTGAACAAGCCAATTATCATATATTCATTGCTGTTCCTAAGTATAATTGTTTTTGTCTATTTTCATCGATCTATAAATGTAAGATGCAAATCACTTATCATTTTTAAGTTACTTTAATCATATTGATCTCATATTGGTTGTAGAACTGTGGATTCCTTCAAGGAATGATGTCTTTACTGAGGAATAACAAAGCAAACAAATCACAATTTTCCTGATACCCCAATAACCTAAGTCCCTCCAGACACAACACTGCATCTACTTCTTCAGTAAGAGGCATGCTCATCATTTTATTTCATTGTTGGCTTTTCTTGTCTCCATGGGAATAAGTTTATATTAAACATAAATGTCCTTGTCCTCCTTTCAGTGTATCTGGGAAACTAGGTCTCTGTCTAGACATGACTAAATACCAGGGGAGTGAACAATTAAATTGTTATGTTTATTCATTTTAATGATTCTTTTGGTTCATCTTTGATATGCCTGTGTAGTTGAGATAAAGTAGCTCATATAATCAAACTGAGTGTGTTGCTGTGTTTCAGTCCACTGTTTTCAACCTGTAGTCCAAACTGATACGCACAGGAACTCTAGGAACTGATAACTAGCCTGCTAGCAGAAGCAGCATTCCTCTCTGGCCTCTGCTTAATTTGCAGCTTTAGATACTCATTATTAACTACAGATCTCCAATGTCTTTAACCTTTGGCTACTGCCTCTTGAAATAACTTTACTCTACATTCATCTACATTGCTCTACTGGGGTTCAAAATATATGTTGGAGTGAATTAATGTTAATGTTAATGTTAATTCAATTTTGGAAGGGTAGTTATTGATATTTGAATATACAACTGCAAAAATGTAAGACTATAAGTAAAGTAGGAATCTACAATTTTACTTAATGTGATTTTATGAAAATGCTGTCAATTAAATAAAAAGATGATGAAGTTGATGAGAAATTCATACGTTTCACTTCTCAAAACCATCTAAAATTTAATTCCTTCTGAAAACAAATGAAACTCAAAATTCAAATAAGATATTTACACCCTCATTTAGAAAATTTCAAATTGAGAAAAAGAACATAAAATTATATTTATCTGTTATATGATAAGTCAGGATAAATTCTTGAGACTTAGTCAGTCAGATATTCAGATACCCAAAAGAAAACAGTTCCAATTAATATGAAAAGGAAATATATAAAAATTCAGGCTGAGCAAGCCATGGAGATCAGACATGTAGACAGAAATCCTTCATGGCTTCTGTACCAGTTCCTACCTCCAGATTCCTGCCTTGAGTTTCTTCAGTGCTATACTGTATAATGGAAGTGGAATCAAAATACTTCCACTAAATGTGCATAACATACTTTTCTTTACAATCTTTATACAAGCTGTTAATATTACATCAAACAACTATCACCTGAGAATTGTTAATTCATCATATTTATGTAGCAGTTTATGAAGTAGCACCTGTCATCATTGATCTACCCCTTCATAAATCTCAGTGGGGCATCATTACTCAATGTTCTAATGTTATCTAATTCTTATCACTTAAACTGACTTATTTTACCCCCTCAAAAGAACACAGTTGGGGCTGGAGATGTAGCCAATAATTAAGTTTGTACTGTTCTTGCAGAATACATGGATTTTGTTTGCATTACCTATATCAGGCATATAATATAAGGCTGTAACTCTAGCTCAGTGGATAATACTTTTTTCTGGCTTTTGCAAGGACCCACCCTCATATACATAGTTACACACACGCACACACGCACACACGCACACACGCACACACACCGGGTGGGATTGGGGAGAGGAAGAGAGAGAGACAGAGACAGAGAGAGAGACAGAGACAGAGACAGAGAGACAGAGAGAAACAGACAGACAGACTCACACATATACACATGCACATAATAAATCAAACCTTGAAAAAAAACCCACAACCACCAATTCTATATGCTGGACTAAGCTCAAATTTTAATAGCCATATACATTATCAATGATTATTTTGTCAGTAACTGCTCCAGAAATAAGTATGCCTTTTAAGTTTCAATAGTTCCAAGACTGAGATGCTCTGACATTTATCTATTGATACTACCAAAAATTTCTCTTTTACCTTTACTTTTATAGTGTGTTACATGGAGAATATCCATTAATGGAAGAAACCATTTTTTGAAACATTCCTTATAAAGCACAATGAACCCATATGCAAAAATATAAAGTTAATAAAACAATAGGAAGCTAATTTATATAAGTCAAATATTGTAATTTATCAATACAATTTCGCTACATTATTTTTGTCAAAATCTGTGCAATTATGATGGATATTCTTATTTATACTTAAAAAGTTTCTCAATATTTATGTTGGAATTTATGAAAAACACTTTCAATAATGCCATTAATGCCTCAATTTCCATATATATAAATATACAAAAATTTTAAATCAGTATTAAAAATCCACTGGGATGTAGACAGGGTGCACACAAGTGTGAATTTTTCAGAAGTTAATTTCCCAATGACTTTAACAAATGCATTAAAGAGGGAATTGGCAGTAATAGAGTGCAATTTCTAAGTGTCTTCTTTGCTACAATTACAGTAATTAAATTGTTCTGAACAGTATATATGCATGTTGTAAATTACAATGAATACACAATGAGTATTGATCTTCATTGTACAACTTAATTAAAACTTGTCCAAAAGAAGTCACTAATGAATATAATTAGAGGAAATGTTTGATACCACACTTACACTGGAAAGCATTAATTAGATATCAGATATTTTGTGGAAAATGTTTTTATTTTGTTATTTATATTTTAAAATGAAACCACACAATGAAACTGAAAAGAACCTTCAAGGTCATTTTTTCACTCAGCTATTAGTGTTATAATTATGAGAAAGATGGGTTGATTGGTTAGCTAATTTGTGAAAAGGAAATTATTTCTTCAAGAGAAGTAAGTCCACAGGCATCAACAAGTATGTAATCTACTGCAAATTCCTAGTCAATGTACAAAAGAGAATACAACTCACTAATATAGGGATTTAAAGTGCTTATTACAAAGATTGAGACAGGGTTTCTCTGTGTAGCCCTGTGTGTCCTGGAACTCACTCTGTAGACCAGACTGGCTTTGAACTCATAGAGATCCACCTGACTCTGTCTCCTGAGTGGTGGGATTAAAAATGTGTACCTCCTGGTATTTTTATATTTTTATTCATGTAGTGTGTGTGTGTGTGTGTGTATTTGTGTGTGTTTTCTTGTAAGTGTAGCACACTTACATTCTTGTAGTGTCCATGAAGGTCAAAAGAGGGCACCAGGTCACATGAAACTAGAGATACAGCTCATTGTGGTTTGACATGGGTTCAGAGAATGGATCTTGGATCCTCTGCAAGACTAGTATGAGAAAATAACTGCTGAGCCATCTATCTCTCCAGCAGTCCTGGAGTATTTTAAATCAGTAAATATATAAATATTGTTCAAAATAGACTCTAATAGAAACTATTTCTTAATAATTGCAAGTATGTTTAATTTATAAAAGATTAATTTAAATTACTGATCTCAATGTTTCATGTAACAATAAAATATTTTAAATAATTTATTTTTTAAAAAGACAGACAATTTTTTATAGAACTGACCAACACAAGTAGAACAAAAATTATCTAGAGACTATGTTTTAAAAGATTAAGTCCTTGACTTCATACATTCTAACAAGTAGAGATAAATATCAAGT